TTCCTCATGTTGCCTTACCTGTGTGTGGTCTGGGAATGCACAAGAGGTTGTGAGGGGATATAGTCAAGGTAGATGACCCCCAGCTGGCCAAAGGGGTATTCCATGTGATATGACACCATGCCCAGAAATAACAGCTGGAGAAAAGAAGGATGCACAGAGGGTACAAGACTCTCAGAGTTACAGTTTTTATCTTTTCACATAAAACCTACACGTGATGGAGCTCTGTTTAACAATTTCCAGAAAAACATCTGCCCGTCAATGGGAAGCAGTGAAGGAACTCATTTCATGGGTTTTTTTAAATTGAGTTTCTGTGTTCTTACCCTTCTGATTCTCTTCGCAGTCCTCAGTGAGAAATGAGCAAGTGCCAGTGCGGGACCAGAGTTAACCCACAATAAAAGGATTTTTTTTTTTTTTTTTTTAAAGAAAAGAAACCTACAAAAAGCACAGAGATAACTCCAGGCATCACCTTTCACCAGACTATGCATGTTACCATTTAATCCAGAATCACATTTCTGACACACTTGTAAATCAGAAAAGTGACTATTGTGGTCAGAATTTTAGCTGGAGAATAGATAAGCAGCCCAATTAGATGAGAAATGAGATTAGCACAAAGGAGATTTGCACAAGTTTATGTATTCACAGGTTGACTTCTGCTTCAGACATATCCTTAGTGGGTGATTGTGCTTACAAATGAATCTTTGAATCCTGATTATTACAATTTTTTTTTTTTTTTTTTTTTTTTTTTTTTTTTTTTTTTTTTTTTTTTTTTTTGTAGTTGATGAATACGTCATTTGTCTCCAAAAGATACCAGGATTCAATTCATGGGCAAACAGTCCATGTACTTCTTGAAATAATTTCACAACACCCAAAATGTTTCCTGAAAGTCAGAAGTATTGTCCATTTGAAAATCTCCACAGCACCAGCAAGCACTACAAAACAGTACAATGTATCCTAAGGACAGAATACAGGAGCCAGGGCTGCTGAGTTTCTGTCTTTCTCTTCTGAATTGCTCTTAGGATTCATCATTCATAAAAGTTGATTCAGGTCTGCCCGAGCTACCATCCCCATAACTAGTTCTCCAGCAGTATTGCAAAATTTGAAACATAACAGCTTTTGAAAAATGAGTTTTATATTTGCACAAGCCTGTAGATATACAAGCATTTGCAGCAGTCTTATCCTATAGAGTATTTCTTAATCTAAATTAGTCAAGTAGCATACTGAATGGGCGATGCCTCATCAAAGTCATGTATCTGATAAACAAGTAACTCCTTTCCCATACACACCTGTTCAAACAGATAATCATCTGGAAAACATAGGAAGAAAACTTAAAAGAATAACAAAAGTACTCAGGAAGAGGAATAGAGCTCATAGTCAGAAGGAAGAATATACACAGACCATCTTAAGACCATCATCTTAAATGAACACTTACATTACTATTTCAAAGTACTTGCTTGATCTTTCCCAGAATGAATGCCTGAGAAAACTAAATCCTCACTTACAGCTGCCACATTTTTGCCAGAATTTGTAATGCTGTCTTTAACCTCAGTAGTAGGAAGTTTTAAATGAAAAACACTTACGTGGCATATATAACTCTTACTAGTTTAAGCTTCTACTCCCAAAACCTACCTCCCATCCTATAGAATCAATCCTGAACTTCTATTTTTCCACATCACACAGCACAGTCCCAGTACCAGACAGTGCTATCCACTGTTTGCCCCAGCACTGGCAGGGCAGCCCAGCCTTGCTCCTCACAAGAGGGCTCAGCACCGTCCGTACAATCCACAGCTGCTTCAAGTCCCACAGTACTCCGGTCTGTCCTCTGCCAGACATCACCTTGCACACTGCCTCCTGGTCTCATTGCAGACCTTCAGTGTGCTGGCACACCATGGAAAAGGAAAGTCCTGTTTGTTTCATGTTTCCAGCAGATCTTTGCAAGGTGTATATTCCTCTTGCCCTCCACCTCCAAGCCTGCAGACCACGAGGGATGAGTTTAGAGGCACAGAATTAGACACTGGGGGTTAAGACATACTTAAGTAGTTCATGCTATGTCCAGCAGCAGGGCTTCAAAGTTTTCTCCAGTGTTTTCAAGGAAGAATACTTACTATCTCAGCTGAATGCGTTCCCTGTGTAAGGAAAGCATCACAACATGTTCAAGAAAAAGACTGTATATCTCTCAAGTTCTGTGCTTCCTATGCTGTTTTTATAAGTATTACTTTCATTGTCTCTTTTCCGTGTCGCCCTCTCTTTTCTGAACAAAAGATAAGAGACAATATCTGGCTTTGTCTATCTTTTGCCCTTCACTTGCTCCCTAATAACTAACAATATCATAAATTATGTAAACACTATACATCTTATCTGCTTGTATGAGATGGAACTAGATAAAACACTGTAAATTATTCTAGACTGAATTAAAAATACAGTATTGCATTACCTCAGATGACGGCAGAGCAAGGTCTGCTATCATACTGAGCAAGGATATCAGAGTAGGCATTTTTCATTGATCAATTATTCTTTTTGGGGTCAATTCCACACACTACTTACTACTTTAAAAAGCAGAATGATCCCTGTGATTACTGTTATGTATTAGATTGATCACTAACAAAGACTTGCTTCACTCTATTTTTCATACATGAAACAGCACATTAACAGCATCCGCATTCCAGTCAAATTGCTGCGCAAGAATCACTTACACGTGGTGTTCTTCTAAAATCCCACCATGTGGTGTTCTTCTAAAATCCCACCATGACAAAACACAAGTTCTTCTGACAATATTTAGCAGTTAGCAGTTAATTCACTGATGGGACTTGTGCTCATGCAGGAGAATTTGACTTTGTCTTCTAGCTGCTTAAGGACACACACTGTCTGGCTATTGTCAGGAGGCCAGTTTCAGTGAGGACTGAGCGGCTGGACTGACTACAATTCATTCATCAGGTAGGAAAACTTACAAAGAATTAATAGAAGTGACTTGGAATAAACAAGAAATCTCGCTAGCATACTGCCTGTGATGAAGTTTACTGATGTTTTCAAACTTCATTTGCAAATTCTGTGCAAACTTGTCTTTCTGTATTGTGCTATTCACTGATCTATGAGTTTAGGAATACATGTTTAGTGCTAAATACACACATTCTAAATCATCTGTCTTTTCATTCTAAGATTACCTAACAAAACAAAAAACAAAAGAGTAAACAAACCTGTCCTCATGAGACCTGCAAGTGCAGTTCAGAAAGCAAGTGACAGGTGTTGAGCCAATAACCACAGCACCTTCTTCACAAATCAGAATAGCAGAGATGATATTCTTAGCCAGGAAGTTTTCAGAATAGCTGCATTTATCTTCATTCCAGAATAATACGAACATTCCCCGAGACAAGCAGTAGTACAGAGCCTGTCACAGCTTCAGGGAACATGAACCCCCAGGTCCCTGCTAAATATCCTAACCATGGGTTAGGTGCCTCTTAACCTCTCCTGGTCCATGGTGCAATTAGGTCTTTCAGAATGTCACACAAAGGTGCTGTTTATCATAAGTACTGCCAAATCAGCACTTAAGAATGCCTGCCTGTACACACAGGGAACACACAGCACCCTACTGCTGCTCTTAAATGAATTTTGATTTCCTTTTATTGGCGTAGGTTTCCACCAGTGAATCAGTCTGCTAGCAGAGACAGACGAGGACCTGCAGCAGAGGTTTAAGTGAAGCAGTCGAAGTAGAGGTAAGTTGCTTCTACATATATGTTTGCGGTCTCTCTTTCATGTCTGCCTCCATAAAATGTGTAATCTTCTTTTGTTCGGTTTATTGTGAGAGCACTCTGCACCCTCTGATCTGTAAGCCTGCTGCTATTCATCAAAGGACATGTTTGCTAAACTCAGGGAGAGGAAGAAGTCACTGACCAGCTAGTGCAAAGAAAGGAGTAACTGACATTTTCATCTTGCTCTGCTAATGTTTTCCTCTCAAAGCTGTCATTATGGTTGACTGAAAATGTCAGTTTTGAAAAACCAAACATGAAGTGATCATTTGCTTTCACAGTTTCAATTGCATTTAACTTTTCCTTGTAAATTAACCAGGATATCCATATATCTGCTAACTGTGTTAACTGATAGGATGGCTTTTAGTCCCACTTACTGTTATATGTGGGGAAAAAAAAATTACCCTCAAGATTACGCTGATAAATTTCTAGAAACTTTAAAACTTTCATGACATAGAAAAAAATCTTCAGAAGTTTTGAATGGCTTTCTTAATGTCTTTCAAGTGGTTTATTCCGTTATTATTTTTTAATGAAATATTTCTGTTAATTCCCTTTTATCTAAAGGTAAATATTTCCCTTTACAATGCCTTATAACATAGAAAGAATAGAAAGTAGTTCAAAGCTCACACAGTCAAAACTTCACCTCTGAAATTAACGAGGCAACTCCAAGTCTTGGCATGCACTAATTGGTGCACTTTATCTGATTTAGAAAGCATTAATCTTTAAGTGCCTTAAAGCATGCCAACTAAGCCAGATGACAATACAGTTGATAGGAAAAAGTATGCCTGAAAAGGACAATATTTTTTCTTTATATAGTAGTTAGTCTGTAGAATAGCCAAAAATAATGTAGATTGGTCAATGAGAAGTGTGTCAGTTTGGCAACTGCAAAGTAAGCACACTAGTGTAAATCTGCATGGCAATCTTAAAATTGAGTGTATTTCCTATTTAACTTAATTGTTCTAGTGACTCAAGGAGTATGAAAGATTAAAAAAAACCTAGAAGAACTGAAAACTCACTCCCTCATGAAGAAGTTCAGAGAGAACAAATTTCTTAGTTACCTGTTCCTAACTCTCCAAATCTTGAAAGTCTTCTCCAGCAACATCAGATAGTACATCCCGTTTTCACAACCTCTGTGTTGGTTCCTCAATGCTGATTACAAAGGCAGCCATGGCTAAAACTAGTATGTAACAGCTGATTTTGCTTCTGTTCCATACAGCAAGGCACTAACTAGGTAGATTCCACTCCACATTCATCAAATAGGCTGCCTCACATCAACCTCCCCCCTAAAAAAAACCAAAACAGCATAAGAGAAGGCACTAATAATGATCTTCAGGTGGTTAAGATGCACATTTACAATAAGTAGGACCGTATGTGAAAGAAAGGAAGGAACTCATGGCACAAATTTGCACTGTTGTTCAGCAATAACATTCCCCTAGGCCTGTTCCACATCCTCCTGAAGCCCTTGACTAATTCCTTCCCCTGTTGCATGACATTAACTGTAGACAGTTCCACCTTATACAGGTATGTATTTCTGTGAGTCCCTTAGGAAGCACACCTGGGACAACCTAAGAGAGACTCCAGATGCAGGGCTCCCTGCAAAATTCATCAGCTCTCTCTTCCTAAAGCAAACATATTGCATCTGCTCTTTCACACAGCCCCAAGATGTGGTGTCTCCTCGTGCTGTTGTGTTCCCAGGCCATTGTCTTTTCAGCAGGATTCACAGCACTCCATGCTCTGAAATCAGAGGAAGGACTGCACAGGAAGCAACGCAACCCTGAAGACCTCATGAACGTTGTAAGTTGTGTCATTTTCTCTGCATACCTTCTTAACATGTCTTTCACAACACCACTACCACTTTACCATCTCAAACAGGACACGTGAGGAGGCTTAAAAACAGGCCTGCTCCTAATGCCCATTTTACTAACCTGCCTTTCCCAAAGCCACTGCATTAGAGTCAGGACTGCAGTGAGGATCATCTCTGAATGTAGTGGGGACAGACATGATTTGTGTGCATTACAGCAGGACATTGACACATCACTGGAATGGAGCATGCCAGCTCCCGCTCTTGGCTCAAAGGTCTCAAAGTGCAGCTCTCCAGAAGCTGCTGGAGAGCACTGGAGATCCAGGTCACTGAATTTTAGCATCAGCAGCTGTAACTGTGAATAGTGCACACAATGCACAATTTCAGCCTGGATAATGGACTTTCTCTGCCTGCATTTAGGGTGAACCCTAACAGACATGTAATGAACATGTGGCTTATAACTGTGACTTTTGCTTGTGCAGTCACCTCTCTCAACACATCTTGATGTTTCCAGCTAAAGCTCAAGGAAGGAAAGAGTGGGATCCTGTCAAGACAAAGATCCTTCCAGCATGGTGGTAGGGAGTACCCTCCTAAAAGAAAACTTGACATCCTATCCAAACAGACTGATCTGCTAGAGAGAAGTGGAGGCAGAGGCTAGTTTCTAGTCTCAATAGAAGTCCTCTTTTGTAACAACTTGTTTGCACAGTACAGTGGCATGGGAGGTTGAACCCCTCCTTCAACAAGTAGATTCTTACAATACTAAGTAATTCAAGCCCCCTTGCTCTGACTCACCAGAACTGGCAAGACTGTAAAAATAGGTGATATTTTGTAATAAGAGCTCCACCCTACATGGCTTACCTAACAATATTTTAGCAGGAAAGGACTCATTATGGACCAAAGACATCCTTTGGCGCAGTCTTATATCAGCACTGCTGCATGTTTACTCTCTAGAAAGTTACTATCAGCACAACATGATGACCTATGTTGTATTTGCTGTGAAAGCTGAAACAGTCTCCCTTCTGGAGACAATACTTGAACATAGGGATGTCTGACTTCTCATGTTCCTCTCCCCAACAACCACACTCAAATCCATTTTCATTTTAGAATGTGTAGGTCTAAAGAGGTATAAGCTTTCAAGCTTTGTAATGCACTAAATGCTAAACAAAGCCAAGTGCTATCTGCCTGTCTTCCTCTGTCTCTACTTCACACAGCCATGCTCTAGAAAAAAGCCTCGCTGAAACAGTTCTGGCATTGTTGCTCAGGGCCAAGTGTGACCCAAGGGCAACCCAGTGCAGTATTCCACTTAGGCAAGCAGCTTAGTCACCCAGTACAGTTCTGCTTTGTCCCATACAGGATCAGATACCAGACCACTTCTCCCCTAAGCAGATGTGAAGCAAATTTTTGAGGCAACTTTTTACAAGACCTGTAATATTTAATTTTTGGCCACAGTCCCTGTAGTCATGGCCCTTACACTACTGTTATGGAACAGACCCACGTCTATGCTGCTCAGCTTATTTGCCATTCAAACGGGCTGGCTTCACTAAAGCTGGCTAACATCGTCATCCCTCAGCTCCAAAAACACAAAGATGCATTCAGAAAAGGAGTGGAAAACAATGAGATGGACAGAAAACACTGCTCCTGGGACAGTCCTAATACAGTCAGCATATTCAACACATTCAACCAAGCTCTAGAGCCTTCAAACAGTCTTATTTGCAGCATAAGTGATGTTTATCATCTCACCATTGTAACCTTGAGTGCACATGTGCCACTGTCACAGTAATCTCTAGTTAGCCAAAACCTAAACAATAGTGTGGCATGTCAGGAATGATCCAAGCATAATTATGTGCTCCTGTCCAGGCAACCACACATCTTGTTATTTCAGTTTGAAAGATAAAGTACTGAAGAGCATCAACATCATCAACTAAAGGCAGCTCTTTTGCTCTCACCATTTTTGGTATCCTTTGACCATATATCCATCCATCCCCAAGAGAGATATGGGTAGAGCTTTGCTGACCTGCAGGAGTCTCTGTAGGGTCCCTTCCCCCAGTATAGCATACAACAGTAGAGGATAAGCCAGCAACATAACATCACATTTATCTTCCTGGCACATTCTTGGCTAGCTGCACAGCCCTGAATAGAAGTAGACTTCAGACAGTTTCCACTCATCTCTACAGAGCAAGTGCAAATTAACAAGTTCTCCTTGGCCTTCCACAGACTGAAATGATCAGATATCATGGATACCCCAGTGAGAAGTATGAAGTTACTACGGAGGACGGATACATACTCGGTGTTTTCAGAATTCCCAATGGGAGGAACATGCAAAATACAGGTGCAACAGTCTATAAACCAACTCCAAGATCCCATCTGACATGCTTGCACATGTTCCACACCTTCCCAACTTAGAAAAAGTAGCTAATTCAATTCAGAACTCAGGTCACATCCCTTCTTCATAATCTATATTCAGGTTTCAAATTTCTATTACTTTTCTTCCCCCTATGATTTCCTTTGACTTTCATGTTTAGTACAACTGTTGGCAGTCTGGAAAAAATCCTACCAATTTCTTCTTAAGCAATTCAGATTTAAAAAGAACTTTTCATTTAACATAATTAAGGAAAATGTTCTAGACAAAAAAAAAAAAAAAAACACCTATTTTGTCATCAAAATTAAGATTCTCTGCCTCATGAAGGACAGTTAAACTACTGTCAAGAAGGTGAATGTTCTGTAACATCCTGTTGGTGAGAAACACATCATTGGTTGATAAGAAATATTAAGAAAAATTGAAAAACTGTGATGAAAATTTGTACCTGGAATTCAAGGCCACAAATACTGGACAGTGCTGCTCTGTTTCCTGCTCATATTTTGTTGTCTCGATATGCTATTTTGTCTTTAATCTTTCACTTTTAGAAATTGAGAGATCTGTAGATTGTTGTTTTTTGGGGGAAGGGGGAAGAGGGGTGGAGAGAATTGATGTGGGTACAGGCCATCTAAATTTATTCTTCATTTGCTACTCTTGATATGAAATCATTAGGCCAAAACCAAGTCCTCCAGCATCTTACCCCAAAATGCTTGGGCAGCAATCATCAATTTCTTGAAGAAAGAAAGTATTTAAACTATTCTGTAAAATCATACATAGTTTTGAGTACTTTTAATTTATTGCTATGGCATAAAAATAAATAAAAACACTCTTCTTTTCCAGGACAAAAGCCAGCAGTTTTGCTGCACCATGGTACTTTTGCAGACTGTACTTACTGGATTGCTAACCTGCCCAACAACAGTCTCGGCTTCATCCTTGCAGATGCCGGCTATGATGTTTGGCTGGGAAACAGCCGAGGAAACACCTGGTCTGCAAAACACAAGACTCTTAAAACATGCCAGAAAGAGTTCTGGCAGTTCAGGTACTCTGTGGAGAAGAACTATCCAAAGAAAGCAACCTTCAGTGGACTAGCAACTTTGGGCAACTAATACTAGGATGTAGGATCTTTACCCTTCAGGCTAGTGATTTTCATGTATCCTGATTTAAAACGGGACAGACAATACCCAAGAGCACCAGAACAATTCCTTCTTGATGCATCCAATTCTAGGAATGATTTGGCTAGGTGACCTGGACAGGTCTTTTTGGAATCAGCAAACAAAGAAGCAAAGATGGAAATATACAGGCACCCCACCATTTCTGTACATATGTAGTGCTGGTTCCTCTGAGGAAAACATTTCCAGAACCAGGAGACATCTGTAACCTTGAGGTCTCTCAATTGATGTCATTACCCCAAGTGCAGACAGGAGAGAATAATGCTCAGTTAAGCAATGAAATCTGATTCATGGCAACAGACATTAACTGAAAGAGAAATGTATTTTGTTACTGAAACACAATGGAAAGCATAATAAGATGGCAGAGCAGCAAGATCTTAGGCTACAGGAAATGAGAAGCTGCTTAGATGTAAGAGCAGTAGGTGCAGAAATAAGAGAAAGCAACTGCTTACCTTCAAAGGACCTGTAAGGTACTCAGGTATGCAGGAATCTCCAGATGAGATTAATCCACCTCCACTGCCAACCCTGAAATAAAATCTGGGAAGGGGTGGATCCTGGCCCTACCCTTTCTGGTCACTCAGGATTTTTGCATGCACCTAAGCTCCCTGGATTGGCCTTGCCTTCCTACCAGGTGCTCAATCGCTGCTTCAAGCTGTGACTCAGCATTTCCACTACAGTTACCCCTGCTATTGAGAGTACTTAAATCTGTTCCCGCAAGAACCTTAGCTAATGAACAGAATGGGTACCTTCTCAGTAGAGAGAGCAAGGCATTAGGCAGCCTGTCAGTACAATTGCATCCTTTTGTCGTCTTCCCTAACTCACAGAAAAGAATGCAGACTAAGTGTGCATTTGAATGGGTCCTGGTCAGTGCTAAGGAAAACTGACATTCAACAATTCACACTGTGATAAACAACCTGCCCCTCTGACAGCTTCTGTTTTTCTCCCCTGTAGCTTCGATGAGATAGGTAAATATGATCTCCCGGCTGAGATGTACTTCATCATGAATAAAACTGGACAGAAGAATGTATATTATGTTGGTCACTCAGAAGGTTCAACTGCAGGTAATGTTAGGATTGCCTGGCTATGAAATAGTTAACATAACCTGACCAGAATGTGCCTGTCTCTGTCGAGTATCTTTCTGTCTCATAAACAGTTACTCAAGGGAGAAATACTTTCTAACCTGATACTTGAAAAATATGGGAAACTTTCCTGCTAACTGTTCTGTCTGATACAAACAAGCAAAATAGAATCCAGAAATGCTTTAAATTCTGTAACTAAGGGCTACTGATACATAAAAGCTACTATTTACCAGGTACATTGCACTACAGTTTGCTAAGTATCCTTTCTTATTACTCTCTAGCCATTCATTGTTACTTTTTCCAGAGTCTTACAGCAAACAGATACTTTTCATGAAGTATCAGCAACAAGGAGCTTTGATTAACCTCAGCTTTTAAGATGTGCATGTCCAATCCTCATAGATTGGATGTAAATGTTAAAAGCAATGGTCCACAAAACAGTTTGAGAAGAAAAGCAGAGCTTACATATTACTAAGTCTCATAATCTAACACGAGACATTTTACCTAAGGTATAGTTGATCTGTGACTATAATACACCACTATTGACTATTTCTAAAGCACTGAGGAGATACCTGGGGGAAGTTGTATGTATCTTTGCTACTAGAATATTATTTTACTTTCCTCTTATAAAAGCATTCTAAGTGTGTGTCTTTGGGCAGCACAAATCACCCAGGCCAAGACGTCTCTGTCCTTGTCCACAGGTAAATCTGTTTTAGGCAATCTTCTAAAATTGTCACCAAATCTGCCAGTGGAGAAATTTGGATGTGTTCAGAAAACAGGATGGGATATACCCTTTTTGCTTCCCACTTCTTTCTTCCTTCTTCATACTGTTCCTTTATGTGTGTGTATTGACGCTCACCTGAGTTTGCATGTTACAAGTCAAAAATTGTGTTCTTAATGTCTCAGCCTTCATATATTTATTATATGAGGGTATGCCATCATAAATATAGTCTTTTAGAGACTGCAGGGTGAAAAAATCATTATTTTATTAGAGTTTGGAGAACTTTAAGGGAAGCTGAATTCTAAAAAATCAGATGGATGCATCATCTCTCAAAAACTGGCTTAACAGAAACTTGTTCTGAGAATTTTTGGATATGCTCTAATGAAGGTCCTTAGGAAAAAAAATCTCCATCAGAATTAAAAAGAATCAAATACTTTCCTTAGGTAAGGAAAGAGGGTGGTAATATAGTCTCATTTCTTGTCACTCATCACTAACTTGATTTCTGTCTTTTGTGTTTGCAGGCTTTGTAGCACTTTCTACTTATCCAGAGTTGGCACAAAGGGTGAAAATGTTCTTTGCTTTAGGACCAGTACTCACTGTCACACACGCTACCAGTCCTTTTGTAACATTTGCACGTCTTCCTCAGCCAGTGATCCATGTATGTCATTCCTCCTTCTGAAAGACCTAAATGCCTGCTCTGTCTGTGCGGGATTCACTCTTTCTAGACTGATTTTTAAGGGGGTGATGAGTTAAGATTGAATTTAGGGTATCAAACTGTTGATAGAGCTGGTAGGCTTCAGACTTTCCACGGAACAAAATTATAAATTTTGATGCAACAAATTTTTGGAATTTCTTCAGGAAAACTTGCATGTTGTACCATTGTTTGTTAAAATGCAATAATTTTGAATGATACTCACAAATATCATAAAGAAAAGTTGTGTGCATACTCAACTAACTTAAGTCTTAAGCTCAAGTAGAAAACTACAAATATTTCATAACTTAAATTCATTAGACATACAGTTGCTTTATGGTTGTGAAATACTGACCTATAAAATGATATAGGAAATTCATACCATAATTTGCCAACTTAACTTAATAGTATATTCTGGGAATGCTAGAAAATGCAGGAGTACATGCTTTTTCTTCCCAAGTTGTACTAATTATGTGAAAATACAGTGCCCAGCTCTACACTCTTGCACTTGACTCCCCCTCTTTGCTAAGTATCAGTGCTCAAATTACAGTTTTGTGCACCTGTCTGAAAGAAGTTTTAGGGCATGGAGGGTCTTTCTATAGTTTACACCTGTGACTGAAATCAATAGGCCTATCTCAATTAAGTTTGCACTCTGTGAACAGATGGATAGCAACCTCCAGGGCACATGCCCAGTACAAAAAGACAGGAAGAATGCGTGGGGAAAAAATTATTCTGGGGAAAAATGCACTTTAAATGACAGAGGAAGGGCAAGCAGTTTGAGCTATCTTAGTTAAGAGGCAGTACTAGAGAAGAGGGAGAGGCAATTTTCTGCATTATACACTCCTGCAACAAGATAAAGTTTCCTACTCTTCTGCTCCTCAGTTGGTCCTTGGTTACAGAGGAGCTCTTCGCCAGAATGAACTGCTGAGAAGGCTTGCAATACAGCTGTGCACACCTCTGCAAAAAGTTTGTGCCAATATCTTATACACCATAGCTGGGGGCAGAGCGCAAAACCTGAATGCGGTAAGCATTTCCGAGAGCACATTAATGTCAGTAGAGAGGAGGCAATTTTGGAGGAAAGTGATTTTTCTGCCTTGTGTTTATATACAGTTGCCAGGAACATAAAGAAATACATTGCACTTCTCAAATAATTCCAGCCAGGACCTCTGCTGCTGATGAATTCAATTCACACAAGGGAGAAAGGAAAACAGTTTTTTGTTTTGGTTTGGCTTTTGTTTTCATTTGTTTGTTTTTTGGAAGACCTTCTGCATCTCTCTTCTCATTGTTTTTTGCTCTCTGACAGTCATTATTTAAAAAGTCCACCCATAAAAAGCTCTTACATGTGTAATCTCATTATGTTCACACAGGTAGTCTATTAATATCCTTCTTCCTTTCATGATTAAGCAGAACTCTACTTATAACTATCAGGCAAACTCTAAAAACTGGGAAAAGATCAATCCATGTTTACCCTTACATGCTGTTTTCCATGCAACTAAGCTATAATGTAGGAAAGACTCTTTCATAAGGATAAAACTCAACATACTAATTCGCTCTGTACAATCGCATCACCTGTGAGTTTATCATCATTTTTTTTTTTTTTTTTAATATTTAAAACACATCCTCTATATTAATAGGGGATATAAAACAGCAGCACTGTTGCTGAGGTCTTTCTCAGATTTATTCTGTCACAGCAAAGGATCACTGCCTTTATAACACTTCTGTTTTTTCTCCAGAGTCGAATAGATGTATACGTAGGACATTACCCAGCTGGAACATCAGTACAGAATATTATACACTGGCATCAGGTATAACTGCATAATGAAATATAAGCACTTACTACAGCTTTTTATGCAACTGACAGGCCATGGGGAAATCCAGAGGCAGTGGTTCTGGGGAATTCCCATCATATCTTCTCTAATAATGCCCTAGGC